TAAAATAACTTGATCATTTGACATTATTACCTATTAAAATTTGATTTCGATTTGCTCATTATACCCTTCACCACACTATGGTACAGGGTATTATGGCTCTGTGCATATGTTTGTAACAGACAAAAGGAAACGAGATAGAAAGATGGTTCCTTTTGAAAATATGCACTTTCTGAGTCGATTTACGCGTCCGTCCGTCCGTCTGCCCATGTTAAATTGTAAACAAAGTACACGTCGCATTTATGATCCGAATTGGATGAAATTTGGCATAGGTCACTTATTTGGTCCAAGGACGAACCCTATTGAAATTGAGAAAAATCGGTTCAGATTTAGATATAGCTCCCATATATATTTTCGTCCGATTTATTGTAAATGGTGTACCAAAGTCCCTATATATCTTTCGATTTGCACGAAATTTGGTACAGCGTACTGAATCCGGTCTAGAATGATGTGTGTTAAGTTTACTGAAAATCGGACCAGATTTAGATATAGCTCCCATATATATTTTCGTCCGATTTAATGTAAATGGTGTACCAAAGTCCCTATATATCTTTCGATTTGCACGAAATTTGGCACAGCGTACTGATTCAGGTCTAGAATGTTGTGTGTTAAGTTTACTGAAAATCGGTCCAGATTTAGATATAGCTCCCATATATATTTTCGTCCGATTTAATGTAAATGGTGTATCAAAGTCAATATATATATTTCGATTTGCACGGCATAGCTTAATGAATTAGGTCTAGAATGATGTGTGTTAAGTGTCGTGAAAATCGGTTCAGATTTAGATATAGCTCCTATATATCTTTAATATAAGTTAATCTCTGGCAAGTCTCATTGAAATCGGTTCACAATGACATGTTTAGGGATCCATTTTCGTGTATGGCCCTTCAACGTCTGTTAGGATTCATCTGTTGAATATACCCAAAGTGGTGAAGGATATCATATAGTCGGCCCCGTCCGACTTTACTACTTTCCTTACTTGTTTACTTCTGCACTCGCACCGTCAAAAGAAATCGAAATATATGTACGATACGCATGTATGTGCACTGTGAAATGCCAAAGTAATCATACCCCGTTCACCGAAATGACACTTTCAATTTGTATCATGACGAATGAAAGTAAAAAAACACACACACACATTCATGACCCTCAGGTCAATTAAAAATGATTGGCGCATTGGGAATTTCTCTGCAGCGAATTTTTTCATTGAGGCTAGTCATTTCTTTTGAAGGAAACCTGAAAAACACTATGGTAATGAAGGGTGACGGGGAATAGGAGATTTTTCTTTATCATGTAAACAAATTGTAATGACGATACTCAGTAATAACTAAACAACTTGTATATTCTGCTTTGTGAAATGTTTATTTATCAATCAATGCAAATTAGTTTTTGGATTTCTTTCATATTACGGCAATACGAGAATCTGAATAGTTGCTGTAATGAAGTGATTTTAATAAACAAATAATTTGGTTATTATTATTTTAGATATTCATAGCTGTCATATACACGTGTGTATTTTCCATCGATTTCATGCAAATGGCTCAACTTCTGCACAAATGATCGTAAATGTTGCAGAATAACGTGATCAGTCGTGTAAGTCGTTATTAAGCCCGGTTGGGAAAATCTTGTTAAATCCTTTTTAAAATGACTTAAGTCGGTGGGAGCCTTATATGGTGGCTATGCCCAGACAAGGATCCCCATATAAAGGGGGTAACTTTCAAGCAATTTTTCAAACATATTGGGCAGTATCTCAGCCATATCTTGACGAATGTTGACTTTTAAGTCCTCAAGAGAGAAGTTTATCTGCATAAAAACGTTCTTTTGCGTAGTCCCACAAAAAAATCGAATGGTGTAAAATCATATGATCTTGATAACGCCACGATGAGAAATTACGCGCCTAGGAAAAAGTTTCTTGCTATAAAGCCTTCTTCACTCGAACTATGTGGCAGCGTCTTGTGAAATCATATATTCTTCATGTCGTATTCTTCAATAGCAGACATGAAAAGGTGGTTATCATATGACCATAACGCTCCGAATTGACGGTGACAGTCGTTACATCGTCGTTTTTGAAGAAGTAAGTTTCAATCATTCCTGCAGACTAAAGAGCAAACCAAACAGTGAATTTTTCTCGATGTAATAGCCTCCTTTTAATTGCTTAAGGGGTTTCAAAACCCAAAAAATTACTAGTTTGTTCATTAACATCGCACCTGGTCAGAAATGTTCTTCATCGCTGGAGAACATTTTGGTCGAAAAACTGTCGTTCAACGCCTGTTGTTCAAGCACCTATTCCGCGTATCTGTGACATTGTGAATGGTCATTTGGTTTCTGTTTTTTCATAACCTGGACTTTATATAGATATATATCTGAATGCAAACTACACCATAATGTGTACAATATTTGTCACCGCTCCAGTATCTTCAAATTTCTTCAGAATGTTGACAATTGCTTGTGTATGTTAATTTAAATCACATCTTATAGCACGATATGTGGCTGTGGCAAACTCACCATTTTTATACCCTCAGCCTTATGGCACTTTGATACGGCAAAAATGTGGCTAATCGACATATTGGTTTTAGGCACCATGTTTCTTGGACCAATTCCGTTTCAGACAATTTAGAGTCGTTTTACAAATGTTAGTCAGTCTGGCCGGATGATGCGCATAATAACACTCAAAGGCAGTAACCGTTTCATCCACTTATTCTGGTACCTACCCCACAAAATGGTCAACATTTCATGGGAGTGGAACTTATAGGTCCCCTCCTTCTGGTACCTGCCCCACTAAATGTCAATCAAGATAATAAAATATCTGATTTGATCCAAATTTTGCAAATCGCAATATTTTCGATTGACCTATAGACTTCATCCTTCGACATTTATATCACCTGTAGGGAAAGTAGTAAAGTCGGACGGTCCGACTATATGATGCCTTTCATCACTAAACGGAGCTATGTAATTCTATGCTCAATTTTGTACGTTGTGCAAAATTTGATGTCAATCTGACTAACATAAGGAATTTGATGCCCAGTTTACTTAAATCGGGCTAAAATATAAATGGAAGCTATATCCAAATATGAACCGATTTCAACGAAACTTCTCACAGGTTAGGTTATACTAATTTCAGTACGTTTTGTTCCTATCAGCCATATATTGGTTCCTTGGTGCGTCAATTACTTAAAATCAATTTACAATATTAGGGAGCTATATCTAAATCTCAACAGATTTTCACGAAACTTGGCAGACATAAATCTAGGCTCAATTCAGTACGTTATGCCAACTTTCGTGCAAATCGAAAGATATATAGAGACTTTGGTGCACCATTTACATTAAATCGGACGAAAATATGTATGGGAGCTATATCTTAATCTGGACCGATTTTCACGAAACTTAGCAGACATCGCTCTAGGCTCAATTCAGTACGTCATGCCAAATGTCGTGCAAATCGAAAGATATATAGAGACTTTGGTGCACCATTTACATTAAATCGGACGAAAATATATATGGGAGCTATATCTAAATCTGGACCGATTTTCACGAAACATGGCAGACATCACTCTAGGCTCTATTCAGTACGTTATGCCAAATTTCGTGCAAATCGAAAGATATTTAGGGACTTTGGTGCACCATTTACATTAAATCGGACGAAAATATATATGGGAGCTACATCTAAATCTGAAGCGATTTTCACGAAAGTTAGCACACATCATTCTAGGCTTAATTCAGTACGCTGTGCCAAATTTCGTGCAAATTGAAAGATATTTAGGGACTTTGGAGCACCAATTGCCTTAAATCGGACGAAAATATATATGGGAGCTATATCTAAATCTGAACCGATTTTTCCCAATTTCAATAGGGTTCGTCCTTGGGCCAAATAAGTGACATATGCCAAATTTCATCCAATTCGGATCATAAATGCGACCTGTACTTTGTTTACAATTTAACATGGACAGACAGACGGACGGACATGCATAAATCGACTTAAAAAGTGATTCTATGTATATTCTCAAAAGGAACCATGTGTCTATCTCGATTCCTTTTGCCTGTTACAAACATATGCACAAAGACATAATACCCTGTATCACAGTGTGGTGAAGGGTATAATAAGATGGAGTCTATAGATCAACCTCTTCAAAGACGAGCAACTCTTTGATAAAAAACATATACCTTATCTGAAGCGAATAATAAAACATGTGTTTTATTCTGTATACCTTCGCAGACCATATCCTGAAGGTATATATCTGTTGGCAACACCGACTGACACTTTTTACTTGTTGTAGTAGGTTTGATCATTTTATGCGTTGTGAGATATTACTTCTGAAACCACGAAATGGATAACCCTTTACTTTAAAATCTCTTCACACCGTAGACCCATTGCAATGTTGACACTCTCTTTTTGCGGAAATTTCTGAAAGCCTTACTAGGCAGTAAATTCAAAACAAGAAAATCTTTTGTTTTCAGTCGACTAATTACTTCAAATCCTATGCATGTCACATTTCACATGCATGTATTTATGTATGTGAGCATGACTGAGCCTGCAAAGTAATCCTTCAATACCTTACACAAAACGCAGGCTAAAAGTATACCTCAATGTTTGCCTCTCTTTGTTTGTCTCAAATTTGTTTGAGGCAATAATTTAAAGCTTGCCTGCAAAGAGTAAAACGCCCACCCGCATACGAAACATAAACAAAACACACATTTTTGTTATTATATGTAAGTAAGTATGTATGAGTGTTAGAATGGCTAGCTTTGTTGGTTGTTTGCTTTTTGAAGCGTCTACAACATCAGACAAGAGCAAAAAGAAAACAAAAACAAAAGAAAACTGAAAAAGCTTCACTTTTTTATAAAAGAAAATTCAAAGAAGCAAAAAAAATCAAAACAAAAGCCAAACAAACAATGCGGCAGTCTACACGGATGGATGGATGGGATCGATAGATGAAAGAATACTTGGTAGGTTCAATGGATGGATGGATGGACGGACGAATAGATGGATAAACTTTAAGACTTACCTCATAACCTTTGATTTTGTAGATTTGTTCACTGCGAACCAAATAGACCAGAGCCAGGGGTAGGAATGCAATTGCCGTGAAAACCAGAAAATAACGCCGTATGGCGCGCCAGTATGTCTTGTTCAGTCGCATTGATGAAATGTCTGCGGAATATGAATGCACACGCCCGCCCACTTCACTACAATTCACTTAGATATGGCACGAACTTCGGCCAGTGCCTTCAAGCGGAATACTCGGAGCTGTGGTGGGACTTTTAAAATGCAACGTTTGTTTGCAATGCAATTCAATACGACCACGTATACGCACGTTTGTACTTCTTCTTCTTCGTGAACACTTGCAGTTCTTCAACAGCTACTCCAGGGGGGAATGGGGTGTGTGTGTATATGTTGGGGATTTTCAAAGTGGATTTTGTTTGTATGTATAATTTTTAACACCTTGATTCCTTTTTCACACCAGACGCACACGTTTCAATATTTTTTTGCATATAAATATAGAAACATGCATACATATGTATGTATGCACCTGTGTGTGTTTGTTTCTATTTCTATATGAGTGTGAATGTTTTCCTAAGTACTTTTATATAATTTTTTTCTACTTTGCAATTTGTTTTTTAGCTTTTTTTATTGTAGTTGTTGTTGTTTATTTTTATTTTACACTCTAGACACAATAACATGCCGGGCCGCTTCGACTGCTACTGCTGGACGGACAAAATGTACAAAGCGAACGATTAATTAACGTTGAGAGATTAAAAAGATTTTGTGTTTGTTGTTATTGTTCTTGTTGTTGCCGTTTTCTTTTTAGCACAACTTGAATTCACAGATTTGCTTTAATTGTTGTTTTTGTTTTTTTATTATTTTTATATTGAGACTGCACTAAAAGCGAAGAAAAATTGCAATTAAACTTAAATATCACTTAGCCGAATTGCCATTTTGAGATAATTCTATTCATTAATTTGCACTTATTTTTAATATCTATGTTTTTTTCGAAAATTAGCTGCAAAAACGACATTGAGTTTGGCCGGATCGACTTTGTTATAAAAAAATTGTATGATATCATATATTTTTGTGCAAGGGGATTTGGAAAACATAACTTCAATGAAAAACCAGTAAGGAAAGTAGTAAAGTCGGACGGGGCCGACTATATGATACCCTTCACCACTATGGGTATAATAAACAGGACTATTAGCATGAAATTGGATGAAATAAAATATGTGATATTTATCTAAATGTGAATCTACCTTGATCTATCCATAAAGTATGTACGTTATGCCAAATTTCGTGCAAATCGAAAGATATATAGGAACTTTGGGGCACCATTTACATGAAATCGGACGAAACTTTATATGGGAGATATATCTAAATCAGGACAGATTTTCATGAAATTTGGCAGACATCATTCTAGGCTCAATTAAGTACGTTATGCCAAATTTCGTGCAAATCGAATGATATATAGGGACTTTGGTGCACCATTTACATGAAATCGGACGAAACTTTATATGGGAGATATATCTAAATCAGGACCGATTTTCATGAAACTTGGCAGACATCACTCTAGGCTTAATTCAGTACGTTATGCCAAATTTCGTGCAAATCGAATGATATATAGGGACTTTGGTGCACCATTTACATGAAATCGGACGAAACTTTATATGGGAGATATATCTAAATCAGGACCGATTTTCATGAAACTTGGCAGACATCACTCTAGGCTTAATTCAGTACGTTATGCCAAATTTCGTGCAAATCGAATGATATATAGGGACTTTGGTGCACCATTTACATGAAATCGGACGAAACTATATATAGAGCTATATCTAAATCTGGACCGATTTTCTCGAAAGTTGGCAGACATCATTCTAGGCTCAGTTCAGTACGTTATGCCAAATTTCGTGCAAATCGAAAGATATATAGGGACTTTGGGGCACCATTTACATGAAATCGGACGAAACTATATATGGGAGCTATATCTAAATCTGGACCGATTTTCACGAAACTTGGCAGACATCATTCTAGACCTAAATGATTAGGCTGTACCAAATTTCGTGCAAATCGAAAGATATATAGGGACCGTTTACATTAAATCGGTTAAATATATATATGGGAGCTATATCTAAATCTGAACCGATTTTTCCCAATTTCAATAGGGTTCGTCCTTGGGCCGAATAAGTGACCTATGCCAAATTTCATCCAATTCGGATCATAAATGCGACCTGTACTTTGTTTACAATTTAACAGACAGACGGACATGCGTAAATCGACTTAGAAAGTGATTCTATGCATATTGTCAAAAGGAATCATGGGTCTATCTCTATTATTTTTGCCTGTTACAAACATATGCACAAAGACATAATACCCTGTACCACAGTGTGGTGAGGGGTATAATTACAGAATGTCTAAAATTAGGCGGCACCATTAAGTTGAGTTTAATTCACAATGCTATTCGAGGTCTAGCATGTTTCCAAAAATATATAGCCACATTGGCCTCTCCTAATCTTCAAAATATTTCAAATTATGCAGGGCATTCAAAATATCAATGTGAGATGAAAAACTACAACCAACTTCAGGCTGCTGTCATTTCTGAACCTCTCGTGCGACAGCTGTTAAAATTATTCGGGTGACAGCTCATTATTGTTTACAAGCGTACAGAAGCATTTTGATGAGAATTTTCCAGAAAAAAAGTTATTAGTGATGGAATCCAAGCGTCATAGTGTGATTTTTTTATATTTGGCTGGAAAATCACTCCAGCATTTAAATGTGAAAAAATCTTTTGTGTCTCGTACCATCGCTCATTGCCGTGATACTGGTAGCATAGCCCGACGGCAAGGAAGTGGACGGAAGAAAACAGCAACATGAGCAGAAATGGTTCGAAAAGTAATGAGTCGACTTGATCGAAACCTACGTCGTAGTGCCGAAAAATGGCTCGTGAGATAACCATATCGCAATATTCCATTCGGCAAATATTGAAGAATGAGCCCAGAAGAATTTACAAAGCAACATAAAGAAAATCGACTCCAAAACTCCTTGTACATTAGAACTTTTTTACCGGGTTAACCTACTTTATGAGGATTTATTTGGCATATATGCAAAGGAAATGACAATTGAAACCCACTGGGTTAACGAAATCTGGTTAAATGTAAACGCACTAAAAAGATCTAAAGAGTTTTTTCGCTTTGCCGAAAGTGGTGAACTGCCGAATTTGGTTTTCTTCGATGAGAAAACATTCGTTATCCAGCAGTTTATAAACAAACAAAATTATCGTGTTTACTTGCCAAGGAGGTCAGCTGAAAATGTGCACCTTTGGCCGCCATAACAGCCGATGGACGCTCTCCGCTCGTATTCATCAAACGATTATCGCGAAAATATTCAGGAGGGTGAATTAAAGCCTTGGGCATGCAAACATTTTGGCCGCAGACCTTGGACATTCCAACAGGACAACAGTACGCCCCATCCAAGAATGGTTACAAAATGAGGTTCCTCGTTTCATTTCTAGCGCACAATGGCCACCAAAATCTCCGGATACCACTCCGGTGGTCTATTGTGTCTGAAGTATTTTTTAAAGCAAAATACCGAAGTGTCGATCACCTCAAGTAAGCGCTTCGCCGGGAATTGGCCAAAATACCGCAGAGCAACATTTGGGCAGCGTCTGATGGTTTTATTGGCCGTTTGAAGGCTGTAATTCGCGCCAAAGGTGACCAATTCGAACAAATCTAAACTAATTCTAAAATTCGATGCTATTTCCGGTATTTTTTTGCCTTCATTCAATAAAATTCAAAACAATTATGGCGTTTTTCTTTTTTTTATTTAACCCTGTATGTGCAAAATTTCAAAACTCTATCCTTAATATTGCGAGCCCTATCGTGATTTCAACAGACGGTAGGACATGCATAAATAAAATACAACCAAGGCGTAATCATGAATTCAAAACAGAAATGGAAACGTAATATAAACATCCATATCAAAAAATATTTAGAAGTCGTAGTGGTTTCAAATACGAAAATGGAATATGTCAGTCCACATTTTGGTATGGAATCAAAATCGCTAAATTTTCGGTATTTTGAAGGTTGCTGTCGCATTTTCACCGCAGGGGCTGAAATTTGACATTCCGATTTTCCACCATAAGTGTTTGCAATTTAGAATTCTAGGTTTTTGGATACTGACATACATCTATGTAGAAAATAATAAATATAGATACATATTTTGTTATAAATCCCATATATTGGTCCAACCCTTTTTTTGGGCATTTTGAAGGGTTTAGCATCATTTTCCCCACCGAAGTGGCTTTAATTTGGAATTTTAGATTTTTGGAAACTGATATATTGCTATGCCGCATATAATCAACTTAAGGGTTATCAATTTCGTGATTGCAAAGTATGAACTGGAAATCGACATCTATTAAATTTTTATTTTGAAAGTCTGCCATTTACGAAAATGGATCACTTAACTACAAAAGCTCGTTTAACTACAAACTACCTTACACCTTCGAAAACAGCGTTGGAACGACTGTCATAGTCCATTTGGAGTGTTATGGTTATATGATAACATACTTTTTTCCTGCTATTGAAGAATACGACTGTTGAATATGTGGTTTCAACAAGGCCACACATGCAACGTGCTTCATAAGTCGATCGAATATGATTTTATAGCAAGAGACCTGTTTTTCCGGCCGTGTAATTTCTCGTGGTGGCGATATAAACTGAACAATATCATGATATTTTTGTGGGACTACGCGAAAATCCGTGTTTATGCAGATAAACCTTCAACTCTGGAGAAAATGAAATGCACAAAAAATGGACAGCACTTTTTTTATGGAGATCCAGATCTGGCATAACCACCATATAAGACTCAATCCGATTTAAGTTATTTCGAATCCACAACTTATTGGGGTGGACCCCAGCCGGGTTTGACAACGTTAACGACTTATACGACTGTAAGTCTATTTTTTCTGATACCACGCCTACTTGACTTGAATTTAATGCAATTCGAGTTCGTTTTTTGAACTTACGTAAAATACAGAGATGAACATAAAAATTAGGTCAGATGAAATGCGATTCCGCCGTGTCGATTTTCAAAATGTTTCTAATAATCCCAGCCTTAGGAAAGGGTATAAACGCTGAGGGCATGATACCAGAAACATGTGTGATCAAAATA